ATTCAGCTCTGTTCTCCCAAACCCTTTTCTTCCTGAGACCTGCTTGATTTTTCTACCTGCCTTGCTTCCTCCTCTGGAGAGTTCCCGTCCCAGCTCGGTGTGTGAAAGGCTCCTTTCTGCTGCCAGAGCCACTCTGGAAACGGTGCAGAAGCTCTCTCTGTTTGTAAGCCACAGCAGCCTGCAGAGAGGAATGGGAGGGAGCGTGCTTGAGGTGTGCCAGGGTAGGGTGGGCACAGATGGCAGATGTTAGGACATTAAAAAGGTGCGGCTGGCGCATCCTACCGCGTCCAAGGGCTTGTGGTTGTAAGGCAGACTGGGCTGTGGCCAAAACCTCAAATTCCACTTAGCCCCTCTCTTCCAGTGGTTAGTTGCTGCTGCTACATGTGGGGAAACCATATTTCCAAAGGGAAAACTGGCCATGTCCCCCAGCCACTTCCTTAAGCAATCCACCCCCCCCCCCCCCCCCAAAGGCTGTTGATGAAATACTGCTACCCCTCACTGGGCTGTCGGCAGTTGTGGGGAACCAGCTGGTATCTCCACTTGTTCATCCACTCCACATGTTTCTCTGACTGCACCCTGCTTTGATAAAAGCAGGATTTTGATCAGTTGGCAAGACAAATAGGAAAAGTCAGCAAGACCAACTGGATAAATGCCCGCTTTTGGAAAAAGAGTTGGGACGGCCAGAACAGGGCTTTAAAAGGGGACTGCCCTAGCAAAATGGGCTGTATGGTCGGTCACCCTAGCTACATGCAGACCCATACACTTCCAATCCACTTAATTAGCCTCATTAGCACTGGCCCTACAATTGGCATGTATTTTTTCCCCCTTTTCCTGTTATAAAATACTAGATTTCAGTTATTCCTCTGCAGCTAATCACATCTGATGAAGTGGGTTTTGCCTACAAAAGCTCCTGATACTGTAATTTTTGTTAGTTTCTAAGGTGCCACAGGACTTCTCATTGCCTTTCAAATGGGTATCTTCCATTCCGATTGTGCACCGGTCTGAAAAGGGAATGGCTGGCACATGTCCTCTCACCTGCCTTCCTTAGCACCACAGAAAAACCCACAAACAATTCAACCCTCTTCACTATCCATACAGTTGACAAACAGTCCACTAGGTATGTGCACACGCTATATGCACGATTGTTGGAAAGCTTTTATCCTAACGGGATCCATTGGGTTGGCTGTGGAGCCCCCTGGAGTGGCACACATACCTATTGGAATGGACGTGTGCAACACATCTCAACGAGCAATAGTTACGAGCAGGAGTGTCAGTCACAGAACCGGATCCCAGTCGAGCAACTGTTACGAGCAGGAGTGTCAGTCACAGAACCGGATCCCAGTCTGCACAAACACAGAAGACGGTGCATGCCACAGACAGCATTCCTGGCTCCCTCCTGTTCAGAGCTTGTGAAATAGCAGTCCCTAGGCTGCCCTTTGGGTTCTGTCTCACCCTGTAAACAAAGGCCCAATGAGCCACACAGGGAAGGAAGTTTTTCCCCCCTTCTCCTGCCCTTGCACTCTGCTAGAAAAAAAATTGCAGGAAAGCATGGGGTAAACTTGTGATGGTGCAATCAGCCACAGTGTCCGTGTTACAAGGAATGGTACTTGCATTGAAACCCTCTGCTGAATTTTAAGTTTCTCCCTGGAAATTGTAAAACAACGATGAGCCTAGTAGCACCTTAAAGACCAACAAAACATGTTGGTATCCTGAGCACAGCCCACTTCTTCACAGCCAAAGGGTACACAATGTCCAGCTGCCGTCTTCTTGCTGGAAGAGTAGCCAGTCGGCCATTCTCACCTGGGGGCTGCCCTATTGCCATTTTCTTGTTTGCTTCTCACAGCTGAATTCCATTTGGATCAGTGAGAGAGACTGGGCCAGCAGCAGCAGCCAATGCTCCTATTTATACCGTCACACAGCGCCACCTGCTGTTAGGAATGCAGTACTGACAAGCAACAAGGGAATTCAAAACTAGCTCAGCTTTCAAGCCGTCATGGGTGCAGAGAAATGCCTAATAAGAGACACCTCTTCCTCCAGGTGTCCCAATATCAATATTAGGTGCAAAAGCCAGAAGGCAGATAAAAAGGCAAAGTGATTGTTTTTAAAATCTCATGATTTTAAAGCAAATCTCATCACTGTGCTGGCTTAATGCAGGATTTGTGATGACATGGGGTTGGCACCACTATAAAGAGGAGATATGAATGTATTGGTTTTGCTTGATTAGTTTTTAGGGGTGGTTGGTATCCTTTCTCTGCCCAGAAGGAAGTTAAAGAAAAGGAGGGAAAGCGTTTTAATAGGGAAAATAGCGTTTTAATGTTGAAGAAAATGTGTATTTGTATGTAGGAGAAGGAAGTAGCAGCAGCTAAAGTGAGAGCCAAGTGATTATAAAGCTAAGGGGTTCACTCCAGTCCAAGGGCCCAGAAATCAGTCTAGATTAGGTGCTCAGCAGAGATGTGAAATCAGAGTCAGACCACCGTCTCCCCTGTTTTCTCTTTCCAGCATTTCGAAGCAGGGCACTGAAATGCCACATGAAATTAATACAGGTATTGTGCCCAAATGCAGCTCTTTCTCTCCTCCCTTTTCAAGCAAAGGCTGTGGCGTGTCCTTTGGGCTTCTCTGCAGCTTGGTTGAGTGGAAGATGATGCCAACATATCCAGAACACTTGGTGCCTGGAGGAAGCTATCCACTGTCAAGGCTGAAAGCTCAGCCACAGCCATGCATAATCAGTTCCTATATGGTAAAACCCCAGAATAACGAACTGACCAGTCAACCACACACACCATCTGGAACTGGACGTATGCCATCAGGCAGCAGAGACAACAAAAAAAAATCATAATCAAAAGAGCAAATGCTGTACAGTACGGTGTTAACTACTAAAAATAAAGGGAAATTAAAAAAAAGACTTAGAATGATAGAATATGAGGACTGGGAAAGATCTCAGGTGGTCATCTAGTCCAACCCTTCACTCAGAGTAGGACCAACCCAACTATATCAACCAGCATACTAGCATCAAACAAAACCATCTCATCTATATAAAGCAGCAGAGCTATTTCTTCAGGCTGAATGAGCATTGTACCAGCTGGACTGTATTTTTCCATTCTGATCACTAGAAATAGAATGATGACCTCAGATATGAGGGATAGCTCTGCATATACTTGCAGTATAGCCTACTCCTCCTGATATTTGTTATGCTACTCCCATCCCAATATCAATGAAGGAACCGTAGGGACATTTCTGGGCTATGAGTGGTGACCATACAAGGAAGGGGAGAGGGGCAGAAGCCAATTGGCGCTTTCATACGGATGAAGTTTTGAATCCTCTGGGAGATTAAAAAGCAAACTCTGAAATATTGTCGTTACTGCTTTTCAAAATGTTTTGATGGTCAAGAGACTGGGGACAGTGTTTATTTAACTTTTTCTCTGTACCATAAAATTTGCTTATTACAGATGATATCTCAGTGGATCATTTTCTTACTGACATGCACAGACAAAGAAACCTTTTGCCTAACATCCTTTGGCTACAGATGGCACCTGTAACACTTGTGAATACCAAACAGTTTTTTCAAAGCACACAGGAGGCACCATATCATTTTAAAACATCTACGGGAAACAGTTTTGTTATTCTAAAGGTAAATATAGAAAATATAAAAACCAATTTCCTAAAACTTTTCAATGTTGATTGTACTGCTTCCACTTGTAATATTGGCTTTGAGCTGAATGGGTGTGTGTGTGTGGATGTTGATTTTATCCCAAACATTTACTAACATGATGGGTGTGGGTAGGGTTGGGTGGCATAAGAGATGAAGGGTTAAACCTAATCCCTGCCAATCAAGGAGCAGCATGAGTTTGTGGTTAGAGCATGAAACTGTGATTCAGGAGAGCTGGGTTCTCACCTTAGGTCTGCAGTAGAGTCTCTGCATGACTGAGAGTACAGTAAATTATTAATCTTGTGCTTCCCCAGGGAGCAGACTGAGATAGTATTTCCATGTCAGCGCGTATCTAGTAACTCCATCTGTAGCTGCAAAATATATAGTTAGGTTTTTTTTTTTTTTTAAGAAATGGACATTTCATTAAAAAAGTTCTTCTTAACTACAAAGTTTTCCACTCACTCCCAAATGTTTTGAGGTCCTAATTTACCTATAGCATGAGGGGAAAATCAGACATCATAGCTCTTAAGGTATAAAGCTATCATCCTTAGTATAAGATGTTAACTCTAAAGTCTAGTGATGCTTGTATGAATGGCAGAATTATACATTTTTGCACCACTGGCAATTTGAGCTATTCAACAAAGTACATTTTTATTACCTGCTTGGTCAAGTAACTCAGAATACTTTGGGAATATTTTTAAATATAAGACAATTCCCTGTGAATGTTCAATACTTGCATAACATATACTCTCTTGTTGAACTTTCTAGCCTTAAAATCAGTATGCAGACTGTGTGTAAAGCAAAGGTGAGTGAAAGGGCGTATGACTGTTCAGAGTTAAAATAAACTCATTTAGAAAGTTGAATGACCAATGTCTGGACTTTTGGGCTACATTTTATGTCATGTTAAGAATGAATGGGCTGTATTCCTCTGTTTCTAAGTGTTTTGTATAGAAATTGTGAAACCATGGCCTCTCAGGCCAACTGGCAGCTTTATCACCATGTAATACATGCAAGACATTTTATGTTGTCAAAACGGCAGGCAAATCACTGGAGAATACAGGTTCCAAAAGGCCAATGTAAGTATAACACCCACACAACAGAGGCTTGGTTTTAGGGTTTATTTCATCTGCTAACATTCATTCTTGATCTAGACAAAAACCATTAGATGATTATTATTTTTAATATTTTTTGTACTGGAGAGAAAAAAACAAACCTTAACATTATTGTAAGATGCTATAAATAAATATATAAAGCTTTAAGTGGTACTTGGCTTAAGTTAAACAGTTTTTTTTTTTTAAGTTCCTGAAATGAAATTGCAAACCATACAGATTCAGCCTAATGGAAACACAGGTGGATGACCCTAGCTACTACTGTTTTTAAAAGAAGGTGAAAGTGTTTGATCTACAACTGGGAGGAAAACAGGCGTGAGGAGGTTTATTTTAATTTCTGTTTTTACCCTCAGACACACAAACCTCTAGATATAAGAACTGAGCCCCTTGGTAGATAAAAAAGCAAAGGGGAAGGAAATGAATGCCCTGCCTGTGTTGTCCATTTCCTCTACTGCAGCCTCATGCAGCAGAGCAGAAATTAAAAAGAACAAAAGTGAAACCTCAGACAAGAGCAAATGACATCAACACAAAATCAGATCCGTTTCCAATAGAACCGGTTGTAAATCCCATGGCTGCTGTCCATTTGCCTGGCAGACTGCACACACACAGAAACTTCACATTGATTAAAAAAAAAAACAATTAAAATGAATGAAAAGGGGCAATAAGTTAAAATCATACTCCAATATGTACAAAACAAATCACACTCAGAAGCCATTTTAATATAAAATTATTCGTAACAGTACTGCTCTCTCAATCCAGTAGTAGAAGGAAGTGGAGACTTGGGGGAAGAAAAAGGCTGGATCACAAATCATATTTTTCATCTTGGATGGTCAAGAATTGTACTGAAAACCACCACCCTTAGGGTGGGCAAAGGAAGCTTTAATACCTAGGTGCTTACAAGTGCCACATTCCCCTTGCCAGAGTTCTTGTGGATGGCATTAACACGCAGCCACAGATAACACTGATTGTGTGTGAGTGACCCACAGATTGTAGCTTTAACAGTAACTACAGCTAACTGATCTGTGCTTTAAAGGCCTACCTCCACTATCAGTCAGCTAGCAAATGTCGTGTTCACTTCTGTTACTGGAACATGATCTGCTAATAGTAACAAAAACAAGAACAAAGCTAACCCAGAAACTCTATGATTTGAATATATCAACTTATGTGGACTGCAATGCCGAAACATGTCCTTTGAAACATTACATTTAGTAAGTCTCTGTGCAGATTACTGTAATCTGTTTATTTATTACCTTTAAAAAATTTCAGAGTGGGAGGATGGCTCAAAGAATTGGTAATAAGGGGCAATGGAGCCTTTTAACTCTGTCACAAATGCAAGTCATACGTTGCTCAGTAATGACCCAGTCAATACCAGCTGATAGCTGTTCAGTGGTCAAGGGAGCAGGTGGTCCTTATGCCTCAAACTAGTTTCTAATGGGCAAGTTCTGCATTACTATTGATAGCCGGACTTCTTTCCTGCTTGTGAGGAACAAGACTAAGAAGCAAATAACCATGAGGTCGGAACTGCAAGAAAGGTTCAAAAAGCCCACTGGAGGCTTTTGATGCTACTGCCTATGACGTCCTTGTTTCATGGATAGACACAAGACCATAGGTGCTAGAACTTAGTGGTTTCTATCATACCCAGGGCTTACAGTTTGGTTCAGTGCCTCTCAGCACTCCTACTGTACAAACTGTTCCAGATCCCCTACATGGGACTGCAGCTTGCAGGAATGACAGTCTGAATCCCATTAAATTCACTCCAATTTTTTTTTCAGTGTTCTACTAAAAATCTTGGGCAGGGAGGCCCTGGAAGAGAAAAGGCCAGCTTGAGAAGAAAGGAAATAGAGACCAGAAAAATGACCAGTGCTCATTCTGTTGTGAGATATGACTGACTGGGGAACAGGTGACAGGACACAGGAGCCTCTCCAGTCAATACGGAACATTCTTCAAAGGGTATGATGAAAGGTGGCATCTGATTGGCTGGCTAATGTTTGAGCAGGCAGGTATCTTATTTGTTATAACATTCATATTTAGGCCACTGGACCCGAATTCTTTGAACACTGGTGGGAGCATGCCATACCTCTGTCTGCATGGGTGTAATGATGATACAAACTCTAAGAAAGTGGACAGTCAGGCCCTGGTCTCTCATTGGCGCCAATAATGCAGCTACCCAGTGTAATCATTCTCGCTAAGCATTACTACTCAGATACATTCTCATAATCACTTCATAAAGATCTCAACTGCAGTGACGACTTTCCCTGGAAGTTTCCTGCCATCATAGCAGGAAACCAATGTACACATAACAATGTAAGATGATGTAATAGGCGAATGTTATATTGACTTGGGATCTGATTCAATTACCATTAAGTTCAAAGGAAGTCTCTCGAGGGACTTCAACAGGACATGGGCGAGAATCTTGCAACTGTCTTCACTATCCCTATAATTCTCCTACACCCACTGCTAGTATGAAATATTTCCTTGTCTCATGAAGAAGCATCATATATAAGAAGCTCTAAATGTATAGAGAGTTCAGGGAGCAGCAGGGGAGATGTATTGGAAAAGAGGGGCACATATTTAACAGCAACAAAATACCTGGGCAATAATTCCACTGAAGTTTCTTAAAGCAGATGATGTCTATTAATTTTAAAACTACACATACATTTTTCATGTTATTGTAGCATCAAATAATCTGCTCCTAAAAACTGGTACCACTCCAAATCGTAGTACATATAAATCACAATAAACTACATTCACATTATGTCAAAGAAGCTCCTTTAAGCCCACTAAAGCAAGAATGTTCTGTGTCAGTGCAGTGATTGTATCCTAGCCTGGGACCCAGCCCTTCAAGTAAATTAGTGTAAAATCTTTGGCCAAGCCACTTGGCATAGTGGGCTTGGTATCCTTTGTTTACTCTAATCATGCTTAGAATTTATCTGTGCACCACTTTGCACTAGTTAACCCCCACACCACTTTTCTGTGGCGAGTATCCTTATTCCCAGGGTACAGATGGGAGAAACTGAGAATAAACTCAAGGGATGTCAGAGCCAGAATCTGAATACAGAAATTTCTGGCTCTCTGGGCTGGATTCAGACCATTAGAAATCACCATAACTTTCTGTTCTTCCTTTTGTGGGTTTAAGGGAAACTGTTAACAATATTATGTAGTTTCATTTCATTTGTTGGTTACTGTAATATATTACAAAGCAAATATTGAAAAAAATCTATCACTGACATGCTCTTAAGGTCAGTAGTCTCTTCTAATTTTGAACCATGTAGACAGAGCCACTAAAATTCAGCCAGTTATTTAGAGCCCATAATGCAGAAATAACCTTGATAGACTGGGCCAAATTGTAGTGTCAGCCTTGATCATGAAGCTCCAATCATTGACAGCCTTTGGATACATGAAGACAGAATTTGGCCCTCAATAAAAATTCTCAGTACGCTGTACCAGTGTATATATAGTATTGCATGAGCATTCACAGCATGCTCGTCTATGGATCTGTTCTGGTGCGTACTTTGAATATGGATTAGTTTAAGTAACCATTTGTGCACTATGGATCCATGACACTGAATGCACAGTAAGAAGCCGTTGGGTAAAGTTTGATAGCGTGCACATAAAACAGTTGCTTTTTATAGCTCATATATACGTTTATGGATAAACAGAATGTAAAATTGCATTTTGTAAAAATCAATGTTTTCTTTAGTTACATCAACACACGAGTGCTGAGAACTAGCAAACATTGTTATTCCTAATTCTGGAATTTAGAAGTGAAGGAATGGGTTTATAGTACTCTCTGCTCCAAAACCAAATTGTTTTCAGGAGGTTTTGCTTTCCACATTCCAGCCTGGAGCAAATATTTATGGCCATGTTATACACCCCTGTAAACCAGGAGTGGCTCTTAATGGAAGCCCTGACAGACCTTTAAAGAGGACAACACCAGCAGGTGCTGATTGACAAGTCTGATCTAACACAGCACTTCAGTATGTCTCATTATGGTTCAAGTGAAAGTATACGTAAGTGCTCTGTTGGACCAGGCTGTGAAGGCCTGATTCAAAGCCCGCTAAAATCAAAGGGATGACTCCCGCTGACTTCAAGGAGCTTTGGATCAGATCCATAATAGGGTTATGTTTTAATCCCTAGTGTTGCCAGATTTTCTCTCCAGATGCTCTGTCATCTTTCCTCTCTATTAAGGAAGAGCAGCTCCAAAAGCAAGCTTTGTTGCTCCCAGTTTGTTCTGGAAGTCAGGCAGCTCCTGCAGTGGGCATCCACCTCCCCTGCGAAACTCAATCTGAATTCTACAGTGTTGGTAACAGTGTGCAACAGCAGATAGAGAATTAAAATACAAAGCGAGCCACACTTCAGTGCATTCCTATAAAGGGAAAGACAACTCTGTGAAAAGGACATGATAGATCTGAATATATCATCTCTCTGACTCTTCTCCTGTGATTTCACTCTCATATTTGATCTGCAATTAACATAGCCTTTGAAAACCAAGGTGTCTGCCATTTGATTCATACTTCACCCTAAACAGAGTAGCCAGCTCAGATCCTAAGAGGCTGAGTAATAATGGGTAATACATGGAGCAGACAAAACCTGCTTCTTTTCCATGTTTCAGACCAATGCAGAAGTGCTTAGAATAGCAACAGCAGTGATAAAAAAAATAGACAGATTTGAACAGTGCGTGGGGAGGAGGGAAATGTGACAATCCATTGCTGGCCTCTGAAGCAATGAGAGTAGGCAGAAGCTGGTAAGACTGCCCCTAGACTGGGAATTAAAGTTACTAGACTCTCTAAAAATGAGAAAGGTTCTGGTCTGATCAGGGGCTGAGACTGAAAAGCATTACCAATGAAGTCCGTTTCCAGGTTTATAAGTGCACCTCGTTGAAAAAAAGATCTACACACAAGGCCATTCTGCCCCATTACAGCATGCACTCTCACTAGATTAATTCAGGCCAATGGCAGGAAATCTTATTGTCCTAGAACAAGGTCTCAAGACTGCTCCCTTTGGAATCAGTGGATGTTTTGCCATTGACTTTGCTGGGTACGGGACTTGGAACATGATCTAACAAAAAAGGCATTTTGGAAATGTAGGTATATGTAAGTACACGTGATCGTTGTAATTAAATCTCATTTCATACACCATACCAGCAAAACAAACATGTCTCCATCAATGACTCCTGGGGTGTTGCTTGAACTCTCTCTGATGCAGGTGCATGAGGGAGTGATGCTACCTATTCTCTCTCTGTGCTTTGTTTCTTTAAAGTACAGAAAAGGATTTTCCTGTGCTGTTTACAAGTTGTACTGATTGGAATATACTGTGCACGGAAAGGGGTGACAATTCCATCTGTGTGTGCATGTGAGACTCTACATGGAATTTGGTTGGTTTTTATTTGGCTTTTGGAACTTGTTTGTGAAGTAAAAGCTGAGGATGTTTGTGCATGAATTCACTAACTGGTATTACCTATGGCAATATGACATATGCGTATGACCCCAGTGCAATGTATCAAAACTGTTGTGCTAAGTATATTCTGGCCACAGTCCATTTGCTTTAATGTTTCTCATCCTTTGTCATCTTTTTCTTTTCTTACTCTGCTCCATTTTCTCAAAAGAGTCCATTTGAGTCTGAGCAGCTGCCCCTGTGGCGAGATCATACCCTAACAGCTTAGCATGCAATCAACTTTGCCACTCTACTCTTAATTTAACAAAACAAAAATACCCCTCTGCCCTCCCTCCCCAAAAAAGAAGGGAAACAAAAGGAAACCTTGATTGTAAAAAATTATTATATACATGTGTGTGTTTGTATATCTGTTTTCATACTCAGTGGAAAAACAGATAAACAAAAAATACTACCTTCGCCATTTGTGTTTGAATTTGGGAGGATAAGAAACATACATTGTATTTGGCCTCATAAATGGGTGGCTGAATTTGTGCATTTTTAAATCTGAGTTTTAATGTTGATCCTTTTTTATTTTTAGTCTTTTTTTTAAGAATCTCATTGGTCTTATAAGAAACAGTACAAAGATCCACTGTTTAAAGAAGAATTCTACCTTCTGTTATACAGACTCGCTTTCAAATAAAAGATTTGTTGGTGGTGGTTTTGTATTTTTACTTCCATTATCTTTTAACAGGAAACCCTAGAATCCCATTCAGTATAAAAGTCTGCTTAGGCTACCACTTCTCTATAATATGGCTCATGTAGTCCTCAGTGGGCAAGCGTCCTTGCTCTTCTGTCTCTTCCTTGGGAAGTGCCTCATTGGACCGGTGAAGAAGCCTCTCTTCCCGATTCTTTATCCTTTGCTCCATCCTCTCCAGCTGCCGTTTGTACTGGTAGCGCTGCTGGAAAAGGTCCTTTGCATAGTCATAGAGCTGCATGTCTAAGTCATTGAGCTCCTCAATCCTCCGTATGGTGTTGTTATCCACCTCCACTCCACCTGCCCTTGTACTGTTGTACTGCATGAATGGCCTGATAAATTTCAGATTAAAAGTTCTCTCAAACAGGTATTGAGTCTTCCTCTGGAACTCTGTCAAGCCAAAAAAAGCCATATCTCTTAGGTTCTTCTTTGCGCTTTCTAGCAGGATCTGCGCTCGCTTGTTCTCGGGGATAAAAGACATGTTGTAGCAGCCCACCAAGCTCAAGTCAGCCAACATCCTTACTTGACGGTTGTTGGCCAAGTTATATGGGCAATCCATGAACTCCTGCAGCGTGCATCCTGACCAGTCTGTGCCTTCATAGCACGATGGCAGCTCTTCAGGGGTTGGTGTCCGACCATCACACATATGCAAGGAAGTTTTCCAGGTGGCTCCTCGTTGGACATGTCTCCATTCACTCAGGTAACGGGACACAGGGTCTCTCAGTAGCGTGATGTAGTAAAATTTTCTACAAGAAGAAAAAAATATTCAGCATGTGACAAACTTATGTGGCAAGCTGGGCTGTATGGCACAGAACAGCAACAGACAATGCCTCAGAGTTCATTTAATTTACCCCTCTCAGATTCTTTTCTTTCTAGAATCTGTACTGCTAAGCAATCTGAGTGATACCAGAACTACATTTTCCTCATAACTCATCTTTTCCATTTTAGTCATGACAAGTCAGAGCTCTCTCACTCTCTCAGGGATATTGCTTTCCACCAACAGACTGAAATGTCAGAACAAATCATTAAGATTCAACTGACTTACCAGTCTCATAGACCAATTTTGGCTTTAGGGTCTCGCTGGCCTTTCCCACTAACATGCATCTTCAGAGTCAACCAAGACTCACTCTCTGGCATTGATCAAGAACTGATCTATTTATAAACTGATCCAATCATTATCAGTGCAACGACCTATTGTGTGGACTACATAGCACTTTATCTTATTGCTAAACTGAAACTCAAGCAATCTGCATTGACAAATGGGGCAGCAGCACAATTTATTTTTAAAATGGGAAATCAGGAAGAAAAAACACTTGGGCTGTGCCTAGACTGACATGATTTTGCGCAAATACTTTTAACGGAAAAGTTTTTCCGTTAAAGGTATTTGCGCAAGAGAGCGTCTATACTAGCATGTGCCTTTGCACAAAAGATTTGCTTTTGCGCAAAAGCATCCGTGCCAGTGTAGACGCTCTCTTGCGCAAGAAAGCTCTGATGGCCATTTTAGCCATCGGGCTTTCTCGTGCAAGAAATTAACGTGGCTGTCTACACTGGCCCTCTTGCGCAAGAATACGTGCGCAAGAGGGCTTATCCCTGAGCGGGAGTGTCAGAGTATTTGTGCAAGAACCACTGATTTTGTACATTACCAAGTCAGTGTTCTTGCGCAAATACTCGTGGCCCAGTGTAGACGCAGCCTTGTAACAGATAAGCAGAAAGAGTGAGATTCTACCCCTAGCGTCTGCTAGCTCCCAGTTCAGTTGATCCACACAAATGCAAATTAAGTATGTGAAAAATTCTGATATGCAAGCCAGCTGGTGAAAGGAAAGGCAGACAAGAACATACATAGCGATAGAATATATTTTCATAACTCCAACAGTAGTGGAGTGTATTAAAATGCAAATGGCACCTTAAACTCTAAGGCGTGCAGAAAGTCGCTGCAGCCTCAGTCCATGGTGTGTGGGGCTACCCAAATGTTCTGCATCTCTCATAATAAAATTACCAGTTTTAACTGAAGCTTAACCGCAAAGACCACTGGAATTATTTTATTGAATTCAATGGGCAGTGGATCAGGCCTTTGGTGTGAAACGTTTTTAGTTGCTAAAGGTGGCAGGGTCTTAGATCCAGTGAGGTGGATCAGGCTTATCTGCTTGTGTGATGTTATCTCCAGGTGGGAGCACAAGGGACTTTACTGGAATAACACACAGACATGGGATACTCTGTATCTTGCCCTTCGTGAGGATGTGGTGTGAGGATAGGAGCAGAATTTTTCTCTTGCTAAACAAGTATCTGTGGAATGCTTCTATAGCTTGCTGCACTCCCGGGACAGTGAGATAGATATACATTCATGTGATGAACATACTGCAGGTTATGAGGGCACTGCACTGTTTTTAGAGAAAATAAAAATGCAAAGTAAACATTTCTGTCTTGGATAAAGTTATCACATGCTCATACTTTCCCAACACCTTTAATATTATTTTTTCCTAATGGTCACCCAATGTTGCTGTACAAGATGAAGCAATTTAATTTAAAGAAAATGCATCAGAGACATTGCCCAGGAAATCTAGTTTTAAATAATTTTTTCCTTCCCAGTTTCCTGTTCTCGAAGAGCTACATCTAAAGCCCACAACAGTGAATCAGAGTTTAGCACAGGAATATCAAACTGACATTTGAGGGGATCGAAATTTTTTCTGGCTCGCCAGAACATTTTTATAAAAGAATGAAGTGCGGCCTGCTGGATGCTTGGAGCACATGGCGAAGTGCCTGCTCACAGCTGGACGGGACATGCTGCATTGCAGCGACTGCTCATGGTGGGCCGGGCCGCTCCGTGCTGGGCACTCCAGCAGGTGCTCAAGTCACAGCTGGCCACTGTGCTCACACTGCCACAGCGCCTCAGGCAGCAACGTTGACTCCGGGACCCAGGTATTAAGTTGAGGGTGGGAGGAGGGAGCTGGGAGTGCCTGGCTCTGGGGCAAGGAAAAGGCATTAGGTTGGGGTGGTCTGACTCTGGGGGAGCGGAGGGGGATTGGGTTAGAACGGGGGTATGAGAGTGCCTGGCTCTGGGGGAGAGAAAGGGGTTATTTTGTTAATATTTTGTTTTTTATTTATGTATTCCCAAATAAAATCACAAAAAGTATATTAATTTTATATAAATAAATATGTCAATTTTTTGCAATTGCATGAATAATTATATCTTTATGCAAAATCTCAAACTTACAAAGTATCTGAAATTTTCACAGAAGCCTGTTCTATTTGATTAACCATGGTCTATACTTGTTTTTATTTCAACAAAACAAGTTAGTATCATATACAAAATTTAAAAATACCTTACATTTTAATTTAAATATAAATTTATGTAAAATTAATTTAAAAATTATTTAATATGAGCAAATAATTTTACACATCAAATTATTGCAATATTATAAAACATAATCTGTAATAATAAATAACTATGACTTTCCGTCAAAGGCCCTAGGGTTGCCTTCTGCCCAGCACCTAAATTCTGCCCCCCCCCCCTAATTTTTTTCTTTTTTGGTCAAACCATCTAGGTGGTCCTGTGGCCCTGAAAACTATCATTTTTCATTTGTGCGGCCCTCAGTAGGCTTCGAGTTTGACATGCCTGGTCTAGCAACTTCAATGAATGATGGATCAGGCCCCAATTGCTCGTCGACTTTCTGTTTTTGTGACCACAGTTGGTAAGAATGCCTGCTATTCAATCTCATTCCATGCCAGAAGCTTTGCACTGTCTAATGGAGAAACATTTGTAGAATGGTGGGGGTAGAAGAGACCTCTCAAGTTCTCTCTTCCTTTTACACTGCAACCCATAATAATGATTCATCTCCCCTGTCTGGGACGCAGCTAAGATTTATATAAGCAATGCTAAAAAACCTCTAACAGATGGGGATAAAATAT